ACTTGGAGCACAGTGTCTACAATCAGACTTTATCAAATGGGATCTACTGTACTTGTACCATAAGCCTGTTTGGTTTCTTGTGCTGGCCTTTATTCATGACACTGTGTTTTTATACCAAAAGAAAAATATAATTGAAATAAAGTCCCTGCTTAAAGGCATACTTAGTCTCAATGCATCATAAAAACTCTTTGCTGTCTCCCAAGACAGCATACAGGAATTAAAATATATGTGTAGATCTGCAAGTTTAGTCATAGCAACTGGACTTCTTTCTTGTTCAGTTGAAACGTTTTGCTACTCATCCAAGTAGCAAATTTGGATAAGTAGCGAAACGTTTCAACCAAACAAGAAAGAAGCCCAGTTGCCATGACCCAACTTGCAGATAGCCACACACAGATGACTGATTATATTTATGGATATATGTGTAGATATAAGTGTAATTCAATAATGACCTGTCTACTTTTTAGGTACAATTGCAATTTGTACAGCAGCCTCTAGTTTAAAATTAAAATCTCTCCAGGGGGAAGTGGATATTGTTCCTTACAATTCCAAAATCTCTTTTCTTAACAGTAGATTATTTTATTCACTGTTTTCTGCATAATTCAACTGATTTTATTAAATGCAGTTGTGCTTCTTCAACCTGTCATTTCAGGTCACACTTAGCGCACTAATTTAATGCTAGGTCCTTAACTATAATTATGCCCCTCATATTTTTAATCCATAACCTAAATAGTACATATAGATAAGGAACCAAAAGAGGCAGAGTAATGAAATTATTCATACATTTTCTCACATGGGTGAACTGGCTTGATAATATGAGAATCTTACAGAAAAGAAACCCACATTATGTGCCTTTAACAAACCCTCTGGTTTATTTAATAAATTATTGTTGCTCTCTTACATCTCCACCTCTCCACCCAGTCTGTTAGGATACAAGGATATACTAAGTGGCTACTAGCTTTGCTTCATCCCATGGACAGGAAAGATTAAAGAGCCTATTGTGGGCTACAGAACCTCTTTTACTCTGCTTTAACTGGTTGGATAAGGGAGGGGAGGGGGCTTCGGTGATACCTGCACTTGGAAAAGCTTATATAGTAGTGAGGGGGTGTCACATTGCAAGCAAGCTGCAGCAGCAAAAGTAGCATTGTTCACACCATGACGGGAAGCAAAGAACTAGACAGGACCAGTCCAGACTAGAACAGACCCTCCTCCCCTTTCACTACCATTATTCACTACACAACTCTTCTGTTAATAAGCCACCACCCACTGCACAGAGCTGCAGCACAGCACTCACATTCTAGCTGGTAATGGCAAAGACGTAATGAGGGCATTGGGAATGACCAAGTCAGCATTGCTAAATGAGACTACAGTGCTGAAGGAGACACTCCAGCTAACTAGACTACAGCTTCAAGTGACAGCATTTCCTCTGGAAGAGTAGTATACAGGCATGCCTAATCGCGCTTCTTTGAATGCCCTATTTTGGTGTAAAGTGCTGAGAGCTATCTGCATTTCAAAAACAAAACCATCAAACATACAACCCTTTCCCCTCTCTTTTTGTGCAAACCCCAACTCCCCTAGTTTTTACTAGGGCTGTGGAATCTGAATTATCTGGTTGAGATTTAAGAGAAACAGCAGTACAGAGGTTGTAGAGGACCACTCTTACATCTACATTCTGATTTCTCTGCTCCACGAGTATATGCTCAAAAAAATTGAAGGCATGTTAACTATGAACAACTAGCAACTGCTAAGACAGCAAATGTTTTCTTACCTAATTCAGTGTTTGAAGCAAGAGCAAAAAAGGCTTTCTAAACTGACATTAATTAAAACAAAACAAATAAAGAGTTATCAATCATTCCAAAGACAAAATTGCAGTCAAGGTTCTGCTCTTGTGCCTGTCACATTGAACAGCGAAATTTTTGCATATCCCACTCTTTTTTCCACAAAAAAGAAAGCAAGTTTTTGCCAAGTTTTATTCTGTCCGATGAACTTGGATAAATATTTATGTGCCTCTCTCATTTTCTATTTAACTCCTCACACATGTGGTTTGGTTAGTATAGCAGCAGGTATGTCAAGTTGCTATCCAAACTCAGATTAACCACTATAGTAATATCTATAACACACTGGATGCCAGCAATATGCCTTAGAAACTTTGTGTTTCAAACTAGCCAATCTTAACAGAACTGAACTGACACACTCAAATTGGTGTTAATCTTTACGCATATTTTCTGGATACAGTACTTTGGTTGTGGTAGACAAGCAAACTACCATAAAACACACATACCCCGCCATACATACACTTACTCATGATCATAATGTGGAATTCCTGCCTTAGTACATTTACTTACCCATTTCAAGTTACACTGAACACAGCAGGGCTTACTTCTTAATAGACACATGTAAGAGGGCATTGTTAATTAACTGGTCTCTCTTGAATCTGGGTAGTTTTTCTTAACACTTCTATGTATGTTTAGAAACAAACTTCCACTGCTAATTTGCATGCACAGAACAAGGTGGGGGGTTATCTACTCCAGAGTAATTACACAACTTCTTGTTTTGCCTGGAGCAAAGATTATTAAAAAAATATGTTTCCCATCTGAAGAATGTGACAAATGGGAAGTACAACAGTGCTTCCAAATCACTGAAGAAAGAATTAGATAAGATTAACAAAAACTTCTCAATCATAAAAGCTGTTTGGCTCTTTGACAAAGGAACAAACTGCCTCAGAAAACTGTAGACTCCCAATTTTAAAGATTTTTAAGCAAATGATACATTTGGGGTATTCCACAGACAATGGGCACATGAGTTCAATTTCAGTCATTAAGCAACAGGAATAGGTTTTGTATTACTGACTGCATTCATTGACAAGTCTGAAGTTTTAGCACTGAAGAAAGGGATAGTTTTATGAAGTCCTGTGTGAACCACATCTTTACTTTTGATCAAAAGGAGGGCAGTAGAGCCAGTGTCACATTAGGCAGCCAACTATCAAAGCATCACTGCCCATTCAAAGTATCAAGAACAGTCGAGACACAAACAATGGATGCAAGATCCTCACAATCATGTTAGATTTTCAAAGTAGAGAGAAGCTGATTTTTTTCCATTCCTTTGCTGACACTCCTATATGTGGCCTGTCTTTATGTAACCTGGCCACCATGACAAAACAGCTGGTCTCATATGGAGGAAAGCAAGACATTGCAAGATCGCCATACTAACCATGAATATAAAGAGGTAGCACCAAAAGAAACACCAATTTTGACAAGGTACACGAAGAAGGAAAGCCCTTATTAGCGTCAGAGAACAACAGAACCCACAGTAGCTGGTTTCAATTCTAGACACACACACACACAGCAGTCGCCTCTGAAAAACCAAAGGGAGGGGGAGGAGAGCCTCTGCCATGTCACCAGCTCTCCTTGTCTCCTTCACGGTTACAAAGCGAGCCTGCCTGCCTGTCCTCCCCAAATTCCAGGGAGGGTTCCCTTGTCCGGGAACATCCGCCCGACAAAGCATGACTCCCTCCCGATGGTGACGAATGGAGAGGAAGACTCGCTGCCGGCTTTCACAGATGGACGGACGGACGGGCGGGCGGGCAGGGGGGCGAAGAGCGGACGGATGGGCGGACGGACGGATGACGGATGGATGGGCGGACGGACAGACAAGTGGGTGGGTGGATGGATGGACAGATGCATGGACGGACAGGCGGGGGGGGGGGGGGACTGATGGCGGGCAGACAGGAGGCTCCGGGAACATCCGCCCGACAAAGCATGACTCCCTCCCGATGGTGACGAATGGAGAGGAAGACTCGCTGCCGGCTTTCACAGATGGACGGACGGACGGGCGGACGGGCGGGCGGGCAGGGGGGCGAAGACAAGACGAATAGGCTTCCACGCTGTTGGGCAGAGAACAAGCGAGCCCTCCTTCTCCAGAAGCCGCTGGCCTCCCATTAACCGCCACCTTCAACGAGGCGTTCAACGGCTGTGGCTTCCCGCGGCTTATCGCTGCGAACTGACCCAGTTCTGAAGCAGCCACCCAAGCGGCGGCGGCAGCCTCCCACTCCCCTCCACGGGAATCCGCCATGTTAGAACAGCCGTCAAGTCCCTCTGCCATGTTCTCTTTCGAAGGCTGTGCCTCGATTCCCACTCCTTCTCGGCCAGGCCACCTACATTCGCCCCAACGCCCCAGAGACTGAAAGCACCGAGGCTCCAGACCCAGAGAATGTGGAGCCCCCTTCCTTCCTCAGGCAAGCGGCCGCCATGTTAGGATAGGAGCTCCTTTTCCCACTACCACTAACGCCACCTTCTCTCACACACCCTTGACCCCTGTGGGCAAAAGCTCCGAGTTTCTTCACGGGGAGCCCAGGCGGAGGTGGGCAAAAAGGCAACGAGTGTGGGCACCCCCGGGTGTTCAAGTACACGTGACAGACGTATTTCCCCATCCTCACAGAAGCGGGTTTACGAGGCTGAGCGCCTTAACTCCAACGCCCGCCCCTGGTGCCAGGAAAATTCCGGTAGCTCTCACTTCTCCTCGAGTGAAACTATCCATGTCCTGCCGGTGCTTGTGAGGGGGTTGGGTTAATTAGGCTGCCCACCCACCCACATCGAGCTTTCGGCCGCAGAAGGGAACGGAGGAGGAAAACCTCGTTAACCGTTTTCCAACGGATTCGGACCTCCAGACAACTCCCGCCCGCGACCCACACGGCTCTTTGCCCCTCTCCTTTCAGCATGGCTGCGCGTCAACAACACCATCTATGGCGCTCCCCAACACCGAGAAGCCAGCCGTCTCCTCTACTACCCTTCACCCTCATCTCTGTATATGGAGATTGCCGCTGCACCTGCGCCCATCGTGACCCGCATGTAACGGGGCCGGAGGTTTACCCAGGCGGACTCTCGACCTTCTTTCCAATGCGACTTTACAGCCCCTGCCTCAATAATAATAATAATAAGGCAAATTATAAATTACCTCAATAACAAATATGTCCAGCCGTAATAATAATCATTAGAGGTACTCACGTGGGACAACGGCCCGAAAGATTTGGTAAATCGTCTTCTCTTTTTAGGCGGAATTTTTAAAGAGTGATGTGGGAACCTACAGCAGAAATATGGGAGGCGGCAACGGCGCCTTCCAGGGCCATAGGCTGCAGAAGCGACCGGCGAAAGAGCGCAAAGTTGCGCCGAGATTAGGGGACGCAAGTGCCGAAAACGAAGGAGACCGTGTGGAAGAAAGGGACAGAGACTCGGGAAGAGAGGAGACAACTGAGTGGCCAGAGAGAGAGAGAGAGACCCACAAGCTACCGCAAGAAGCAGAACCAACGAAAGAAGCCCCAGCTGCAAAGAAGATGGCAAAAGAAGAGGAAGGAGGGCCTCAAGCCGAGTATTTATAAGCGAGCTGGGCTGGAGGCGGGGCGAGCGCCACGCGTCACAAGCGTGCGAGGAAGGAGGCGCCTGCTTTGCTCGCTCGCTCGCTCGCTGGGGCACCCGAAGGCGCCCTCTCGTTGCGGCTCGTTTCCTTCCTGAGGAGAGGGCAAACTCCTGCGGGCGGGAAGGGTAGTGCGCATGGGCGCAGGTCGCACGCACGGGCGCAAAGGGGGAGAGACGTCAGTTCTCCCCCTAAATCCCGGCCGTTCCGAGACTTGACCTGACCTGCGTGCAGGGCAGGGCGTCTCTATGGTCACCCTCCGAGAGTTGAACTTAAATACTGTACAGTAAGAGTGGCGTTGACCCTGCGTACAGATAATTGCCTATCTTCACCTGGTCATGGGGCTGTCTCTAAATATATCAGTTATATATTCTCACTCCAGTGTCTGAGGAAGTGGATTTGATCCGAGACAGCTCCAATTTAAATATAACAGCTTTCAAGGTGCACACGTGGTTTGGGGCGTATGAGCGAGCGATCTGTCTAGAAAGCAAAATCTCTTCCTGTTTGTGTGCCCTTCCAGCTGCATGATCGGCCCAAACCGAGTCGGTACAGCTTTCCACCGCAAGGGCTTTTCCATGGCAGAAAGGGTGTACCTGTGCATCGTCTGCCTGTCATTCAGAAGGACAGCGCAAAGGTGGTTTCTGGTTTCTTTTTGAAAAGTGATATATCATTATGCAGACAAAGTGTGCTCCCACTACCTCTTGGAACATCATCACAGAAGGTTCTAAAATGTACTTTTGGTAGGGAGCTGCCTATGCCAATGGCATTTTACCTTTAAAATTTACTGCTGAAAAAACCTGTTCACAGCTATATAGTTCTGAAGAATAAGTGTGGGTGGAGTGGGGATGAGCATTAGGAGGTAGTTGCTATTCACACAGTGGCAGCTTTTTGTTAGGAAAATGAGACAGTGCCCCGTCAATCCACTAATACCAGATGGGCGGGATATAAACAAACAAACAAATAAATAAATTCCCTACCAAAATATAGAGCGCTAGGATCCTGCCTGCTTTTCCTCATAAGAAACTCTCCGCCTCAGCGGGATGTAGAAGTTGTCTGCCCACCCTGGCTTTGCCCACAATTGGTTGTTGTGAGTTACACCAACAACAACAAAGGGCACCAAGTCCACTGGGGTTAGACAACAGGGAGATACTACAACTTCCTGGAAGAGCTGACCAGAAATGTCATGCATTAAATATTGGGGAAAAGGGTAGCTTCAAATTCTGGAATGGTGCAACAAAATATGCATGGTGGTTCTTGAACATGCACTGGTGTTCAAGTGCTCTTCATGACAAGTCCCCCTAGCTATGCTTTCCAAGGGAACCTGAAAATGCAGAGAGCTGTTTTGATCTATAACAACAACGGGTTGTAGCAGTTCCTATCTGCACTTGAAGCAAGCCTTTTGTAAAGCTAGCCAGTCTTACTTGCCTATTCAAGGCCACACCAAAATACTCTGCATTATAATATGGGTCACTGTTGCTGGAAAAATCTCCTCCTCCTCCTATTCCTGTGGGGAATTACCTATTGAAGGCCACGCCAAAATACTCTGCATTACAATATGGGTCACTGTTACTGGAAAAATCTCCTCCTCCTCCTCCTATTCCTGTGGGGAATTATGGCAGTTGAAGTCAGAGAAAGTTGAGGGACCAGAGAAAGTTGAGACGGTGGCTGATGATACCAATCTGAAAATCACTATGTTCTGACTACATAGATCTTGGCTTCACTACACCCTTGCCTATATACAGTATATGAAGCTCTTGTCTGTAGGAACCTTTAGACCAGTGGTTCTTAACCTTGGGTTACTTAAGTGTTTTTGGACTGCAACTCCCAGAAGCAGTCAGCACCAGCTGTGCTGGCTGGGGGTTCTGGGAGTTGCAGTTCAAAAACACCTGAGTAACGCAAGGTTAAGAACAACTGCTTTAGACAGCATGAGAGAAGGGGGAAGGGTTTCTAATATGGTGTCCCAAACACCTATTCCAGGACAAGATAATGCCTTTTGTCTCAGATGCTGCACTCTTGTGCATCGCTAAACCATTCACTGAGGTAACATTAACATGAATGTTTATCAACATCAGGCAGTTCTGTCAGGATTATTGGGGGATGGGGGAGAGAATTAAGCCATGATCTGGCAAATTGCTCAATTCTTGCCTATATTGGATATACAGTATTTATTTAGCTCTTTCCCTTCCCTTCCAGTACCAATATTTTGAAAATCCGCCCTTGTATTTAAGAGCCTGATTCCCCAGTAGATTGACTCATGAATCTGTGGCAAAAAACTGCATAATTACATCTGCTATTTTGTGTTCCTTTTCCCAGAGGCTGTTGTGAATGAACTCAAATACAGTTATTCTTTCAGCTCAGCCAGCCAAAAGATGAATTCTGGGATATGCTTCCTGACTTCTCTGTACTTTATCACTGTGTGACAATAGAAGTAACAATGTGTCTACGAAAGTTAAACCATGCTGCTGACAGAACAGCAGTTTAGGAATAAATTGGAAATATTGCAGGAAAAAGAACTGTGGTGTTTTTTTCCCCCTAAGAATGGTAGGAGCACATGAGAATTCCAAACTTCAGCAAATGTGGATTCCTTTAAAACCTGTTTTTTAGAAATACTGCCACTCTGTAATTTACCTGCCTTGTAATTTTTTTTCTGTCCAAAGATTCTTACTTTAAAGGTCCAGTCTTTTATAGGGTCATGTCTTGGTCGGGTTAGTATAACCTGGAGGGACAGATACATAGATACTAAGTCATGTGAAGAGGTCTGGTTTTGGTTTTAATGAAAAGGTGTCTTGGAGGTTGCACTTGAGAACAGACACGGCTGGTTAACATTTATATTTTCTTCTATTTGTGGGCTCAAAGTAAGTCAGGCTGCCTTCCCAAATTCAGGGTAAAAGATAAAGAGGATCCCCATCTCATGTGATCAAAAGCAGCTGAAGATGTGGCATTTTTAGCTGCGAATTCCAAGGGGAAAGGACCACACAACCTTGTTGATCCCTCCTTTTTATCCGCTCATTTTCCAGCTTCCATCAACTACAGTACTTTTTGTTTTTTGTTTTTAAAAAAAAACAGGAGACTGATTCAGGTTATATCTGCTTTGGCTCAAAATATATTCTTTTAGTCAAGATAAACAACAGCCTTTCTTGATAAATCACATGCTTGACCTTTGTCAATATTTACAGAACTGACAACTGGAGAGAAACACATTTGAGAACAAATACATGTTATAAACTCCCCACTAGTATCTGTGGGTCATTTTAGTGCAGCAGATAGAAGAAGTTGGCTCATACTGTCTACTACTAAACATCCCACATTGAGACTGAAATGCATAATAAAAAGAAAGATGAGAGAAGAATAGTATTTTGATTGGCTTAATTTGTGCAGTGGAATCCACATATTACGACAAGATAAATAACAGGAATCTATCTACAAATATCTCTCTTAGATATGAAATTAGCATTGCTCCATACATTCAAAACTACGTTTGGATAAAAAAATTGTATACAAGGGATGTACAGTTTTTTCAGCCCTAACAACTACATGTTGTACTGGTAGCAATGCATCTGCCAAAGTGCAGGTATACAGAGCAAACAATTACCACCACCTCCAAGTCAAGGAAAGAGTTGTCTATATTAGTGATCTTTAGGAGAGGGAAATTAGGAAAATTCTTATTCACTCTCCAGCCCTTTCCTGGGGTGTTTTTATGGCTAATAGCAAACATAGTGTGCCAATTGCTAATCTGCATATAGCCAAATAGCTGGCTGAGTAGCTCATTGGACTGAAGCACTTGGCTAGGTGAGAAGTTTGATTCCTCATTATGTCTCCTGGGAGAAAAGCCATGTATGGCCTCGGGAAAGCAGTACATTTCCAAAGCATTAATAGAAGGATGGAATGGCAAACCACTTCTGAATACTTAAAACCTAAAAAACCTTGCGAGGGTCACCATAACTTGATTTGACTGCATATTATTATTATGAGTATTAGTATTATTTAATCACACAACACCTGCACACAAGAGGGGTCCAGTTATGGACTGGAAAACTTCAAGGTTTGCAGAATAAAAAAGCCCAACACATATATATATTGGGTGGGGACAGTCTCAAGCAGGTGAAACAAGAAAAACAGATCAATGAGGGCTGGGCATACTCAGTAGGCATGATAGTCTGCTCTGCAGAGGAAACAGAAAACAGTGAGAACAGAAATGGAAAAGAGTTGCTGGGATTCTGAACAGATAGCTTCACAGTGGAATATTTGTTGCAGGTCCCACTTGTTTTTTCTGTTTCCAGCAAGGTGGATTTAAATTTTTAAAAATTGGACTGTTTTGATAATTTAAATTAAAGAAATCATTTTTATTTAAATCAATTTAATTTTTTAAAAATAAATCATTTTTATCCACCATGGTTTCCAGCAGTGTTTTGTGATATACAGTATAAATATTGATTAATATATGCATATGGGAAGAATGAAAACATGCACCAAAAGTTTTAACATTACATTTTTTTTGTTGCTCACTTGGAAATCACAGTAACGTACAACAGTATTACAATGTTCTGCCTATATTTCAATTTCCTCCATTTCTGCACTGATGCCTTTCATTTCCAAGTATACAGGTGCCTAGTTGCAGCTGTGCTGGAGTTCCCAATATTTTTTCCCTATGGGTCACACTTGCTTTTTAGTACCGGTATATATTTACACAGAACTAAGCAATCACAACACTTAATATACATTATGTAAGAGCTGCCTCCTCCAACACGAACTTGCCTGTGCATGTGAAGCAAATGGATTAGTGAGAAAGTGTTCTCAGATGTACCAAGCTCATTATGATTTAGTAAATAAGAGAATCATGGGGTTTGCTTTTGCCAGTTTCCCTGAAGAAGGAAATCTTGTTTCCGAAACATGTTGGGCTGGAATAGATTTCGGCTCTCTTCCAGAACACTTTCCTAGTTTTACTTGCTGTCTGTATTCTTTCCCTGGTTGCTTTCTTACCATACATTTTTCTATGTTCTTCCACTGTCAGTAGTTTAATGTACAAAGATTCAAGATTGGGCTTAAACTTTGAAACCATCCTCTGTGATAAGTTAT